CAGGGTGTCTGCAGTGACATCAGTTGATGCCCTGAGACATCTCTCCCCGACAATGGATCTGGTGTTATGCTGAAGAAGACTAGGCGCTGTTCACGTAGTCCCCTAGGTCTCCCAACCTAAGTTCCTGTTTTTGAATTTTGGGCACGTCGAATACACTGGAAAGCACCAACCGCTCAGCGCAGGCGCATGCACAGGCTAAGCACCAACAGCTCAGTGGATATAACGGCAGCTTCATAAACTCTAATAGGCAGTTCACAACCGGCAGCACACATGGGCAATTTTTCACACAAAAAATTCCACACCATGGTGTGATTCACCAAGTATCCATTCTAATGCTGTCAGAAGCTTTGAAATTGTGTATTACATATTTAAATTTGTGGTGCTGCCAAAGCAATAGTTTCTCGCATTATTTCTAAAAGCTCCGCAACATTATACTACGACATAACCAGTAGAAGTGTTGTCAAGCAGCTAATTATTTTACCGCTCCGAGACTCGAACTCAGGCTCTCAGCTTAACGTGCTGGCGCTCACACCACCACGACACAGAAGCGCCGCGTGGGTCGAACTCGAACAAAGTTGTTAAAAGGTAAATGCCCGATTCGCGTGAAAAAACTTCAACATTCAAAATATCCGTTACAAACTCCCAAAGCCTCCAGTTCCGTTAAGGGCTCAGTGGTGAAGTCGCCTTCCTTTCACCACTGAGGTTCCGGGTTCCATTCCCGTAGAACCTCACGTGAAATTTGTTACGACAAAACCAGTTTGTCTGCATGGGGGCTAGTCCAACCCCTGTGAAGCGTCCTAAACCTTAGCCCTATCCTTATTCCTTGCCAATTCTGGCCGCTAGGAAGTGACGCAGGAGCGCGTGGAAGGAGACGCATACGCCGAGATGCTCCCTGGCGGTTCTCTTGACAACTGACTACGACGACACGTGACATGACATACTACAATATACTAATTGAATATTACTCCTCATAAGCGCACTAAATAAATGGAGGATTACTCCAAATGCAAAGAGCTCAACGCCCCCCCCCCCAAAGGACGTGGGGACGCGTTACGTCAATGTAGACTTAACAAATAAAAAATCAATCAGGGAACATCAATTTTGAAATCAACTCAACGGTTTAAGCGCTAGCGTTAACCATAGACGGACAGACAAACGGACACTTCGCCGTCAATCGATTTTTCGGTATGAACCAACAAAATATGGATTCTAGCTTCACCATGAGATAGAGAATTTTTTCTAAATTTGGCAACAGAATTTATCCTCATTTGCTCTACCGCATGGGTCCCGGCAACAAGGTTTATTCTGGGAAAATTTCGGCGTTTTCTGGCGCACTACTACATAACTTTTTCTTCTTACGAATAATTCGTTAGGCGAGAAAGTAATAATAATTTCTGAACTATTCTCACGTTGTTGGTCACGTGTCTAGTGTTCTTCATCATCATCATCAGCAGCAGCATGGGCCGATCTAGCCTGTTCCGGTAAACTTGTCTAGAGAAGACCATCTCTTCTTTGGTCTTCCTACTTCTCTTTTTTTCCTTTTGGGAGATAGTAATAGGCCTGTTTGGTCAATCTCTCATTGTTCATTCTTAGTAAATGGTCTATCCATTTTTTTCTATGTTTACTTATTTTTCCTTGAAATCTGGTAATTCCCTATTCTTCTCTTATATCCTCATTTCTAACACGGTCCATTAATGTGCATCCTTTCACATATCTCAGAAATCGCATAACGCATTTAAATTTCTGGTCGATAGATTTATTAGTTAACTTAAATGATACAGATGTAAAGAAACTCAACAATTGATTTGACGTGACATACGTTTTGCAAAAATGTACAGAAACGTCCGGTTTATTTGAATACGTAATGATTTCATTTATGGGTAGAAATTCTTCAAATGATTTTCAATAAAGTATGTTGAATCCCTAATAGTTTCATACAACACTTTCAGCAAATTAAAATCCGCGCGTGGGACTCGAACCAGCGACTTCTTGGTTTCATGTGACGAACACGAACATGCCACTTAATAACCTCGACCATCCAGGACAGGACCTCTACAGTTTCATAATACTAAGACACAACCCATTCAGTTCTAACATAACGGAGCTGAGAAAATGTGAAAAACACGGGGGTTAAAAGTTGCAAATTCAAAAATCACATACACACTTCAAATTTATTCTGAAAATATCTTAACTGATTGTATTAGTACAAGTGATTAAAATGATTTTCAATTAAGTTTCTGCAATTTTCAATAATTTTGTTGGGCCATACAGAACAAATAACTATCTCTGAGCCTGGCTCGAACAAGTCGAGCGAGCTCCACTTGTCGACCGTGAAATTGTTTTTCGGGCGACAAAATGAAAGCAGCCGTGAATGAGGCTTGTTGTAAAAAGTCGCGAGTAGAGAGAATAGAAAACTAAATAGGGCGAGAAAGTCTGTACAATTCTGTAGCAACACTAGTTTATTTATTTAAATAGCAAATTTATACACTTTTTTTCTGAGGCATAAATATCTTCAATTTTGTAGTTCTGAAATTATTTTTCAATTTTCGAAAAAAAAGTAATACCCGAAAATGGTACTTGCAACATATTTCTTTCCGTTCCTTATTATATATGTGGAGAAAATTTAAAGAAAAAAATATAATCGATTTTTGAGAAATTTTTTTTCGTAAATTTCAAGCGCACATTACGTAAAAATGCTACCTTTTACAAAAAAAAGTACATGCTATTTTGTAAAGACCTAATTGTTTAACAAACTTTATCTGAGCCTTTATCTTTATAAAAACCTCTATCATCAATTTTGTACTTTAATTTTTTTGTTGTTGCAATTTTCAATGCAATTGAAAAATCGAGGACATTACCGAAAATGAGACCTGCACCATTTTCTTAAATATCTTTCGCGCTATTAAACAACAAAATTTAATAGAGAAATTTGGAGCCTTTTTTTGAAAATGTCTGGGGGCTTCATGTTAAGTCCCCCCAAAGTTAAAATATCGGTTTCAAATTCCAGGGGTCGCGACATCAGCCAGATCGATTGGGGAATATCAATTTTGGAGAAAATCGGCTGAACCGTTTAGCTGCGAGCGTTGGCCAAAGACGGTCGGACGTTTTCCCGTCCATTGATTTTTTGGTATTAAGAAGCAACCAAACATGGATTCTGGCTACAGTATGTGTGTAGAGGATTCCCCCCCCCCTAAATTTAGCAATAGGATCTATCCATTTTTTTCCGTTACCAGAGCTCGGCTAAGCCATTTTCTGCCGCACGATTACATACTAATTTTACAGATTTGGTTCATTCAGGAATACAAAGATGTTACTCCTTCCAACTGTAAGATGAATAAAATAAAAATTGACCTCCTTTTGGGCTACTGGGTTCCACCAGCTAAATGAAGGTATTGGGCCAGTTTTTTGTGACTTCATTCTCCTTGGTGTTTTTTACTTGTACTCTTAAAAATATTACACCATTACTGAAAGGAACCAGAAGACATGCAGCATACAGAAACATTTCCTCCTCTTAATGTCATTAGTAGGGGGAGAGTTAAATGAAGTGTATTTTTTTTTTCTTTTTACACTTTAGAGCAAGGGTGTCCAACTTATAAGGCCTGAAGGGCCACAACTAAGATTATTAATACAGCTGGCGGGTCGTATTTTGATTACTCGGGCGATCCGCACCAGACCATCCCATATGGTTTTCTCCACACTTTGCCTGGCTGCTCTCAAATGGGGGTGAGGAATGGAACCATGCAGGCTATCAGGTTGTACACTGCAGAACGCAATGAAACACATTGGGATGATTTTGAATTTCTGAATTGACTAGAAAAAAAATCTTTAATTCAACTTATTTTTTCATTGAGCGAGTGGTGTGTGTTGACCCTGGCAGGTGCGCTTCGTGAACAATATTCTTGCCCAACACAGATGAATGGGACTTTCCCTTTTGAATGGTAACTTTTCACAGGCCACGATAAATGGCACTGCGGGCTGCATGCGGCTCGCCAGTTAGACAACCATTCTTTAGAGCAATGCCTTTTAGTATAGACATTAATATTGTGCTATGACAGAAGCAAATGACCCGGTTTTATGTGGTATTTTTTGTCAATTTCAACTAATAAGTCATTTTTTTACTTTTTTGCATCATTTTTAATGCATTTGTGCTGTTACCATTAGATTTTAATATCATTTTAAGAGTACTTTTAAGAATAACATTTGTAATAGATGTTCTCCACAGAATTAATCCATAGCCAATTTGCTAAGAAATTGTAATGTCAGCCGTTGTAAGTATGTAATCTAAGGTTCCTGTGATGCCTCTCAGCGCCGTTGTCAGGTCAGCCGATTGCAAGATAACTAAAAAGGCAGATTTCCTGGTAAAAAAAAAGTCCAAGCCAAACGTTTGCAAGTTGAATTCACCTGAACGATAGGAAAAAGCCTCGATTACTCAGTAACAAATCCAACAGCTCAAGTTGTTCATCTGAACTGGTTTTGATCAAATTTTTCAAGCATTTAATTGACCATTTATACCCCACAACTACTCCTGTTTTTTAATGTTCCTTGATTAATTTTAAGTTCGTTAATTACAGATCTAAAACTGAGGTTACATTTCATTGAGAAATATTTGCCTTTAATATTGACGGTACTGAGCAAGTTCACAAATAAATGTGAACTTTGCAACTGATGATCTTCAGATTGGCATAACCACATCTAACTTTTTTTTTCTTTTCTAACCCCCATTACTCAAGCATATTTTGGTTGTGCGATTAACAGCGTATTAGATTTTTAACTAACAGCTGTTTATGCTGTTATTGTTGCTATTTGTTTGTTTTATTATGAATCAAATCCGTGCATTAATATTCCGAAATATTTGTTATTGAGTTCTATAACTTGTTTAGACATAATAATGCGTGAAGATGACATGCAAGCTCAAAATTTTTGTTAATAATACATTGAAATCAAAATCACAGTCATGTGAAGTATTACATAAAGCAAATTTATTTAGAAATGCAAATCACAGAATACAATCAAATGCAATGAACAAAATAATACCATCAAATTGAAACACATAGGAACATTTATAAACTATGATAATAACTACATTCATTGAAAACCAATACAGTCTTCCTTGTGTTCTTTACAGTGGGGTTTAGAGCAAAATGTTGCAGCAATTCTGTGTGAACCTGTTTTTCCACTTCGGACAACAAGTGCTGCTTGTTTTTTCTCTTGGTTGCTCCTGTTTTCATTTTTTGTCAAGCAAACAAACCAAGTAATATATTTTCTCCTTTAGACGAAATGGTAGGTTAGGTCTCAGATTGTTTCCCTGCCCAGAACTGACAAGAACAAATGGAGTTGAATTATGTGGGAAAGCATTGCTCGAGCATGATTTCTGGAGGTTGAAAAATGATATGCCCTTCTCTGTGTTGGCAATAACACAAGTGTGAAGAATGAAAACTATAATTCCATTTTCACTGATGGCATTTCAAGATTCAAAAGAGAGTTCATAATATAATTTTGAAGAGACAGCGTCGCTAGAAAAAGACATTCGTAACTATCGTATCAGTGGTATGGCGGAATCAACATTACAAAGAAAAGATAGTTTTCTTACATGTTAAGTGAAAAAGTACATTTTAGAGTTTGAATAATTTTAATTATTAATTTTTTAAATTTCCTCTTTTGAAAGCCTATTTTCGTAAAAATAAATTCCTTTTTGCGTGTCTATTTTAGGTAAAATTAATGCTGGAACTTCAGGGCTTTAATCACGAGGTATGTACAAAGTTACAGCACAAAAGAACCTGATATACATACACACTACAACAGAAGATTTGAGATCTTACAGTTGAGGTGATTCCAATCTATGTTAAGAAAAAGTTAAAAGAAATGATGTTTCTGCCATAACTTGGCAAGATAGGTCCAGTGGACCCAGGTCTCTCTAGCCTGTGAGAATTAATTCCATTTTGTGTTTTTGTCTATCATTTTTTTCTTTCTTTCTTATTCGGCCAGAAGGCCTTTCAAGAGCTTTATTATTAATCACAATAAGGTTTTGACATCATTGCTAATTTTTAACTCATTTACTCTATCGTTAATATTGGTAGTTTAAGATAGTTGTTTAATTTTAAAGAATTTTGTTTTTAATTAAATTATTTCTCTGAGTATCAATTATAATACTACTAATAATTAAAGTTGACACAATTTATCTTTAGGAAATTTGGTACCGTATACAGTTAACTTTGCTTTCCTGATCTCGCTGTTTGTTGTCTGGCTTACAGGCCGGAGCATCTGTTTTCCAGAATCACTGTAGTGTGAATACATATTGCCATGAAATATATGTCGTCTCACAAAGAACAGTTTGTGTCAAAAAACTAAAGGAGAAATCAACGCAAGTTGTGCAAAATACTCATGCCTTTGCCACGCATGACTCCAACACCTTCCGAGTTTGTAGCCAAATTCCTCCTAAAGATAATTGTAATGTGCATGTCAACTTTAGATTCATTAGCTAGCTATTACTAACTTGATAGTCAGAGATCAATTAATTAATAAAAACAATAAGTTCCTTTACGCAATGAACAACAGCACTATCTGTAAAACTACCGAATCATTAAACCCGATAGCCCACGGGTAAATGAACGGTTAAACAATTAGCAACTGATGCTCTCAACACCCTCTGATTGTGATTAACTTAATAAAGCTCTTGAAAGGCCTTTCTGGCCACGGCCGGAAAAAAGAAAGAAAGATAAATGATCAGACAAACCAACGACGCAAACATGCGATAGTATTAATTTCTCACCCGGCTGAGCGAGACCTGCGGCTATCCTACTGAACGCCCATATTTCTGCCCATAGTTATGGCAGAAGACATCATTTCTTTTACAACTTTGCATCACATAGATTGGCAATCACCCTCAACTGCATTAAGATCTCCCAAATCTTCTGGTTGCTAGTAATGTTGTATGTTTATCCACCGGTTCTTTTGTGCCTGTCAGGACGCTTGTGTACCACCTACCATGCCGTGCCATTAAACCCATGGACTAGTTTCAATCGGCATTAATTTTACCTAACAAAATAGACACGCAAACTAGGAATTCTATTGTTACGACACAATAGGCTTTTCAAAATGGATGGCGACATTTACAAAAATCTCAATAATATAAATTATCTTCAAACTCCTACAAATGTACTTTTTCTTCTCTCAACATGTAAAGAAACTAATCTTTTCTTGGTTTGACATGTCTGACTCGCCGCCATACAACTCGATACGATAACGTTACGAATGTCTTTTTTCTAGGCGACGCTGTCTCTTCAAAATCTTATATTAGGTGAACTCTCCTTTTCGAAATCCTTGCAAATGCGCAGCCAGTGATTGAAAATGGAATTCGTATACGTTTATCATTCTTCCCATTGTGTTAGCTTGCCAACCCAACAGAGAAGGGCCCCATATCGATTTTTCAAACCTCCACGAACATCATGCTTTCGTAGCGGCAAAGCTTCTCCCCAACAACGTTTCGCCACATACATTTGCATACACTATAACATTTGTCTTCTTGTCTTATGTCTGGCAGGGGATCAACAATCTGAGACCAAACCTACCCTAAAAAGGCTAACCTCCACCTATTTCGTCCCTAAAGAAGGGGACACGGAAAATACTTATCTCACCTTGGTTTGTTGCTTGAATCAACAAAATGAAACGGTGAGGAGGCAACAAGAGAAAACACACAACGCGAGCACTTGTCTGAAGTGGAAAAAAAGAAAAAAAACAAGTGTTCACACATTAATGCTGTTGCATACTAATCTTGCCCGTCTACCAAACCGCCATCTGGTCAAACCGAAGCCACCACAGGAAGACATTATTCTGGTGTTCAATTAAATTTTCAGTTATAATATTATAGTTTTATAAATGTTCCTGTCCTGAATTGTGTTTCAAGGGTCATGGTGATTATTTGTTCATTGCCACTTTTGAATTGTATTTTCTGTGATTTGCATTTCTCAAATTTAAAATTTGCTTTTATGTAACTTCACATTGAACTGTGACGTTTCAGATTCAATCGTTACTACACAAAATTTTGAGCTTTGCATGTCATGCTTTCACGCCATCTATTATGTCCAAACAAAGTTATAGAACTTCAATAACAAAATATTTGCGGAATATTAATGCCACGGATGTGTGATCATAATAAAACAAACAAATCACGCGAACAATAACAGCATAAACGGCTGTTAGTTAAAAAACTCGAATTATTGCTAGTAATCGCACAACCAAAATGATGCTTGACGTAATGGGCGGGGCTTAGAAACAGAAAAAAAAACTAAGATCCTGGTTATGCCCATCTGACAGGTAGTTCAGCAGTTGCAAAAGTTCCCACAGTTTATTTTTGCAAAACTTGCCTCAAGTACCGTCCAATCAATGTAAACGGCACAATATTTCCTCAATGCAAGTAACCTTCAGTTTTAGATCTGTAATTAACTGAACTTAACAATTCGAATGCAAGCGCGAACAATTAAAAAAAACAGGACTCTAGCTATCTGCGTGGTTATGACAATATGGTCCAATAAAATGATTTGACAAATTCATGCAGCAAAACGCAGTTCAGCCATGAACAGCAGTTGCAGCTGTTGCGATTTAGTAGCTGGAGTAATCGGATGGCTTCTTCCTCCGATTCATCACGGTGGCAAGTATACAACCACCTTGCAGAATCGGGCTTGGCCCGCCACTCTCTCTTCTCAGGTAAATCTGGCCATTTTTAGTTACTCTTGCAATCATAAGACTCCAATTCCCTTGATCCCTGACACATCGCGGTCTGAGTAGCCCATCACAGAATACCGTAGATTGACATAACTTCAGCATACGGCTGACATTACACCTTACTCTAGCCAAATCTTGGCTCAATTGGCCATTAATTCTGTGAGCAGAACATCCTATTAGTAACAAATGTTATTTCTTAACAAGGGTACCTATTAAGAATGCATCATGTAAAATGATCAAATCCCTAACAGCAACAAATGCATTTAAAAAATGATGCAAAAAGTAGAAATAAAATGATAGCAAATCTAATCTTCCTTAGTAGGAGGGAGCGTGAGGGAATTGACGATATACCTAAAATACCCAACTATCACAACTCGAGCGCTACCCAATCCTGCTCCATTGCTTCCGTCAAAATAACACGAATTATATTTAATGTCTCATACGAAAAGGCCACCCTTCGCCGTCCCTACCAGGACATCCGTAACGTGCGCTCCTAATACCCTCCCTGGCGAGCGCCCGACATGCAGCGCCGGCATGCCACAATTTATCGTGGCCGGTGAACACCATGTTTAGCGCTCAGTGCAAAAAGGAATAGCATTACCCGATTACCACAAGTCCCTTGTTGGGGCAAGGAATACTTGATCTACGAAAGCCATCTTGCCATCAGGAGGTCAACACACTAGCAGCACTCTTCGCTCCTAACTTCGAAAACTAAGTTAAAGATTTTGTTTTCTAGTCGGACATTCGACGGAAATTCCAAACATCCACAGTAGCAAGATCTTCAATTGCGTTCCTGCAGTTACAACCCTGAAGCCCTTCGCAGGTTCCCATTCACCTCAAACCCCATTGTGATGAGCAGCCCAGCAACTGCTAAGTGGGAGCAAAACCATATTCGGGAGCGTCGTCTGGTCGCGGATCGCCCCACGAGTAATTCAAGCATAAATTATGACCCGCCACGCCTGTACTTTAATAATCTTCTTAGTTGCTGCCGCTCCTCTTCAGGTATCGTCAGGTTTCTGGACACCCCTCTGCTCTAACAGTGTAAACAAAGTAAAATAGACTCTGACAGCATCGATAGATCTGCTATACAAATCTATAAGCTGCCTATACACCTACTACGTGGCTGTTAAGCTCCAGTCTACATTCACTTCTGCCACCCAATCTTGCACACTCCCTGAAGAAGCGCGTCACTCCAACCTCAAGCCTCTTGCCACGAGCTAGTAATGAATCTCCATCATTAAAAGTAGGGAGCGCGCAAATGTTTCTGTATCGCTCGCACTGATACCTTTCTGTTTTTATAGCCTTTGCAGTAATCGGTGCTAATATCTTCTCTACATTGTAGGCACAGCTTAGAAACACAACCAACCAAGAGAGATCTGAGAGTTCATCAACAACAACCTTGGCGCCCCAATACCTCTCATTCTTACGCGGCGTGGACCCCATGCTAGCCCCAAAAGGAGACAGTCAAGTCTTTATCTTATCATACTTCATCCTATACAGCTACTGAAAGGATGCCTGAGAATCATCTCTTTCTGTATGTAATCCTGGAATACGAACCCAAACTGCTCTTGAACACCATTGAGTATTTGTAATCCGCTCGACGACGAGCGGACAAATGGACCTTAAGCTTGCACTCTCGAGTCTATCAACCGGAAAAAAAAAATGGCGATCAGCATCCCGCTGATTGCTAAATTTACGGGAGAAAGCATCCTCGCTACAACATATACCCCCTGTAGCCAGAACTTCCACTCGTTTTGTCTTGGTTCTTCAAGTACCATACAAAATCAAGCTCGGCATCGGAAATCACGTCGCCGACCGTCTCTGTGGCCAACTCGGCTCGCAGCTAGAGACCGGGTTTAGCCCCGATTCTTCTCCGAAACAATTTATATTCCTCCAATCGTATGTACTGC